AATAACAAAAGCCCATGTAGGGGTCCTCAGTGGTCCTGGTTCAGTGGGTCTACTCTGTGATACTTATAGCTTTTCTCTTTGTTGAAAGGCAAGTGGGACATCTCCAACTATTCACTCTTCCAATCCTGTTCAAAAGTGGAACCAGGTGAAGGTGAGGGACAGAACCATTCTCCTCAGACACTTCTATCTCATCAGGTAGGGGGAAAATATTTCCCCCCACAACCTCCACCAGATTTCTTCTTGCATCCCTTTGACGATTATTAGGTCACATACTCATCCGTGGACAAAGATAGGCATTTCCCTTAAGATGGAGCCACGCCAAGTCCTAAGCAAAACTAGACATCTCATGAGGTGGAAGAGAATGGATTTTAGGTAAGCAAGAAATGGTGTTAGGCATATTCTTTAGCTCTTAATATAACTGAATTTATAGATGACCCTAAACATCTATAAGAGGACAACTGGTTTGATCATCTCCAGACCCCATAACAAACCCCGTGACAGTTATTATCTATAGGAACTTCATGGTCTTAACCACCGGCATACTTAACTCCATTTGTCCATGATTCTTCACCCTTCACATCTCTTGTATCTCTTAGCTATGCCTCAAAACTTTTGATGATAAAACATCCCAGGATTCTGTGATTTAAGGAGTATTCATTTATTCTTATGTGCACATCTATGCCAGGGATGGGAGAAGGCTTGAAAATGATGGACAGAGTTTGGGCTTAGATTCAAGCGGGAGGCTGAGTCTGCATCTGTATCACGTATCTGTTATCCTCTCCACATTTGCTATTCTCCAAGTGCCTTCAAGTAATCAGTAAACCAAAGCAGCATATTTTGGGGTGGCATTTCCTGAACTCCTTCACTGGTCAGGTGGTTAAGATCAACCAGCTGACTAACTTATTCTGGAGTGTAGACCCTGGAGCTAGACAGGACTGAGTCCAAACCTGGCTCTGTCTCTTACTAACTATGTGACCTTTGCCAAATACTTAATCTCTCTAATCCTCAAATTCTTCATCTGTAAAGGGAAGATTAAAATAGTACTGCAAGGATACGCTTCAAAATTTAACAAGGATTATCTTCGGGTGATAGCTAAAGATCCATTTTAATTTCTGCCTTTGGTTTTCAGTATTTCATATTTTTAACCTATAGTTAACATATTAACTTTTGTACTTTTTTAAAGTATGTTTTTTCAAAAAGACACTATTAATGCTTTCTGTCAACATGTGTCATAATTGCAGATTTTATTAATACCTGTGAAGAACTGCGAGGAAAAGAATGAATGAATTAGGAAAACTGATATTCTCATTTATCCCACTGCCAAAGAGGAAAAACCCACACACTGAGTACTTATTACATGTAGGGCACAGAGTGAGGTCTGAAGTTGAAAATGAAATGTTTTGTGTTTTGAATGACTTTACATTTAGTGGGCTAGAATTCTAAAAATTAACTGAATAAAAATAATGCATTGCATGTCAGAATCAGACAAACATTTTTTTTTTTTTTTTTTAAAGAGGTAGGTTAAATAAACTTAAAGCTTGCTGCATTCTCCCCGGGAGAGGAGCGATCGTCTCCGGTTAAACATCACACAATGCTTCCTGAGGAGCAAGCATCATGATGGCCCCTAACGGGTAGGCGACCTTCACAAGGTTACCATCATCTCAGTGCTTACTGGTTTGATGCACAATACAAGGAAAATCAGTCAGGAGGTAAGAGCTGAGAATGCAGAATGATTGATTTACAAGAAGAGGAATTCCCAGTTAACTGTTTCAGATGCCAGTAACTCAACAGCTGCATCTCAAAAAGTTCAGGGGGTAGGACGTTCTTTCTTCACCACAAGTGAGAAACGCAGGGTTTAAATCAACCACCCTTGATTTGCTTGTATGTGTGCAGACTTTGCATAACTGGAAAAATAAAGACGTCAAGTTCTTCGACTTTAAGTTAATTTTTATTGCTTTTCAACTTTGTAAGGGCGTAAAAAATCACTACCTTGCTTTTTAGTCCTGAGCCAAGCTTTTATTTTTCATTACCATTTGCAAATTGCCAAACTTTCGCATATGACATTAAATATGTATGTGGACACTTAGGACATTAGAGTAAGCTAAATATAAAACTATGTGTGGAAACAATGTCTTAATGGGAGATATCAGAGTTCCCTTTCCATGAGAATCCCAAGAAGAAGGGCATAGTGGCAATTTTTTTGAGACAGAGTCTTGCCATCACCCAGCTGGAGTGCAGCAACATCATCCCAGCTCACTGCGCCTTGAACTTCTGGTCTCAAGGGATCCTTCTACCTCAGCCTCTCAAGAAGCTAGAATGACAGGCATTCACCACCATACCTAGATACTTTTTAAAATTTTTTGTACAGATGGGGGTGTTCACATGTTGCTCAGGCTAGTCTTAGACTCCTGGCCTCAAGCTATCCACTCATCTCAGCCTCCGAAGGTGCTGCGATTACAGGTGTGAGCCACCACACCCATCCAATACATTGTAAGATTATCAAATGGTAATACTCATCGGGCTTATAACTCTATGATTATACTTTAGTGATTCTTGAAAGACTAGTTTGCATTCGGCAATGCTCAATTCAGAGTCTCCTCATTTTTACAGGAGATTGAGAATTAAATCAGAAATGTTAAGGGCAAATCAAATTATAAGAAACATTTCTGATGTCTGACGACAAAGACCACCAGTTAAAACATTTCATTCTGGAATCAAGTACCTCAAACCTAGCCTCTAACAATGTAAAATTTCTTTCTTTGTGATAGTTACTGGGAGAAAAGAGCCCTTTTAGTTAAACAGGTATTTATTTCCCTCTGTGTTTGGGGGAGTAAGAAACTACATGTATGCTGTTCAGAGGAACTTGGGCAAATTAAGGAGAAAAAAAAAAAGAAGCCCATATACTTCCCCATTCTTAAGAAAAGGAAGTAACGGTGACATCACCCTCATCTAAAATCCAGTCTGTTTATATCTCACATTATTAGGTACCAGAATACCTTCTTCAGAGTTATGAAGTAACTAGGCCAATTAAGTACAATTTTCTTCCAAATCTTTATAACTTCATTAATTCATCCATCCCACAAATATTTATTAAACATCCATTACATGTTAGAAATGGGGGATACATTAGTATGTGGATAGAAAGAGATAATGCCTGCCCTCAAAAAATTTGGAGTTTGGTGGGGGATAGGAATAGAAATTAAAGAATGACACAAATAATTATAAAAATGTGACTAGTAAATGCCAAAATGGAAAGGCTTTTGGTGCAAAGAGAACCTAAAAATGATCTACTCATGGAGGTCAGGGAAAGCTTGCCCATCAAGGAAGCTGTGATTCAATCGAAGAAGATGAGGAGTTGGTGTGGTGAAGAGGAAGGGGAGGACAGAGAAAAACAAGTCCACACTGGAAATGGCTACTGCAGGAGGAATTTAGAGAGGGCTCTGGGCAGTCAAGGAGGAGAAGCCAAATGAAAGATTACAGGAGAGTTGGGGCTTGCAGGCATGTTCAAGGATCTGGCTTCTATCTTTGGTGTTTCTCAAGGGTGATGGGAAGTCAATAAATGATTTTAATTACAGGATTAGTTTAACCAGGTTTGCATTTTTGAGAACTGTCTTTTCAGCTCTGGTTCGAGAAACTGAGTGAAAGAGCCTAGCAGGGCCCTGATTAAGAGTGAGTGGTTAATACTCCTGCTCAAGGGATGATAGGGGCATGAGTGGGGTGACCAAGGGGGAAATGGGGAGAAGCAGATTTTGAACTGAATATTCCTCCTAAAGTGGTTCCAGCTTTGGCAAGGCTGTTGGTGGGCAAGGAGATGCCCATTGGGTACTCACTGCACTTCACTTCCTTTAGCTGGGAAATGGCATTTTCCTAAAAGACATATCCATATGCACCTTTGGTGGTAGATGGAACAAGAGCTAACATTTTAGGATCAAATAAATGAACTCTTAGACTGACAGGGAAGATTTCAGGAGTTGGTTTTGCAGGGAAGGCTCTATGTCTTTATTCCCTGTGAACCTGGCACCTGTCTCAGCAAACAATCTTTTTCTCTGGTAAAAGAGAGAAAGGAATTGCATTGTAGGAATTGCTGAAAGATCTGACCAGAGGTCTATACAGAATCTATACCTGTGAGAGTGAGTCATAGGTTGATCATATAATTTATTATTCTATCAGGGCACAGATGAAAAATGCAGGAGTTCTATTATTATTTAAATTGCAAAACAGATATAAACTGAGATTGTCTTGGGAAAGCCCGTTTGCCCCAGCAAGAAGGGAAACTTGAACGTTCATACTGTTCCCACTATTAGCCCTTTTGCACATTGGAGGCTAAAATTCTTCACCTGCATTACTGGCGCGCACAGGCAAGCATTTAGCTGAATCCCAAGCCACTTTCATTGTTACATTTTTTGCCATGTATCATCCCCCCAAATAACATTTCCCACTATACAGCTCCATGATAGCTACTCCTTTACAGTTTCCCACCCAGTCACCGCCGGGCGGAGGCAGTTCAAAATGGGAGGCTCTATCTAGAAGTTCATTAAAAATAGAAGAATCTGTCTACTTCCTAGACCTACTGATTCAGAATCTGCATTTTAACAAGACTGTTAAAATCAGGTGACCCCATATGCATATCAGAGTTTGAGAAAAACTTCTGGACTTGAACCTGCGGTTAGGAAAACATTTTCACTTTAACCGTGTATGCAACATACCTGTATGTATACATGTATATACACATAACTGAAGCAAAGGGTTAGTGAGGCAATACTCACCGTTACTATTTAATTTGGGCAAAAATTTGCTCCCAACTCACTACATTTCAGAATCCACTCGTGAGTCTCAACTTGGAGTTTGGAAGCACAACTCTCAAACACCCAGGAATAGTCCCAGAAAGACTAGGGGTGGGAGCAGATGTTAGTGGTGTGCTGTGGGAAGTGCAGGCGCTTTCTCTACTCAGTGACTTGGAGAAACGCATGCACTTAGTCACTCCTGAGTAAATACTTGGAGCGAGGAACTCCAGAGGGGTGTGGGAGAGCGGTGAGGAGCAGCTGAAAGTTTGCCAAAGCGCTCCGAGGGGCTGGTCTAGGGGACGTGATTGGCAGCTACAAGAGAGCTGGGGCTGGAAGCCGAGGAGAAGGCTAAGGCTTTCGGGCGGAGAGAGGTCCTGCCCAGCTGTTGGCGAGGAGTTTCCTGTTTCCCCCCGCAGCGCCCGGTTGAAGTTGAGTGAGTCACTCGCGCGCACCGACCGACGACACCCCCGCGCGCGCACTCGCTCGGGGCAGGAGCCGGCCTCCTGCGCAGCTCCCCTCGGCCGCCGGGGGCCTCGCCGCGCCTCGCTGGCCTCCAGGACCCTTCCTAGCTGGCTAGCGGGCGCCACATCTGGCCCGCACATCTGCCCGGCCGACCGGGCGCGGGGTCCGGAGAGGGCGCGGCTCCGAGGCGCAGCCCAGGGTCGGGGAAGGAGCGGCCGCTGCGCTCGGGGATCGGTCTATGACGAGCAGCGGGGTCTGCCATGGGTCGGGGGCTGCTCAGGGGCCTGTGGCCGCTGCACATCGTCCTGTGGACACGCATAGCCAGCACTATCCCACCGCACGTTCAGAAGTCGGGTGAGTGGCCCCCCCAGCCGGGACTCTACGGGGCGCCGGGGGTCTCCCGGGCTCCCCGCCCCTTCGCTGCGCTTGACAGTCGGCCCCGGGAAGCCGGCGCTGGGGCGGAAACTGGGCAAGCTTCCCCGGCGGGCACCCACGCAGCCCGACGCCCGTGGCCTCGGAGGGGTGTGAGTATTGAAAAGGAGAAGGAAAGTTCGGCTGCTAGAGGCGCGGGGCATATTTGGTCCCCTTTGTGCGAGCAGGAAAGGCGTTGTGCTGGCCGCGTTCGAGACGAACCCCCACTCCCGGAAAGGGAAGTTTGAGAAGTTGGTTATCTGAAGACGGCCGGGGAGCAGCGGCCCAGGGCGGCAGCTGCTGAGCCGCCAGAGCAGCTCCGCGCACCTGGGCCGCTGCGGTCTGCGCGATGCTCCGCGCCCACCCAGTTCTCTCCCAGCCACCCCCTCGGAAGGCCAGTTAGTCGGTCCTTAGCTCCACATTCCCTCAGGCCGGCTTCTTGGCCCGGAGCTGTTGGATACGAGTCTCAGGAACAGAAACGCTCTCCAATGGCAAACATTCTCTGGCTCCACTGACAGCTTGGCCTGGATGGGTAGCGGGTGGAGATGGGTGAAGGGCTGAAGGCGTAGTTACTGAGTGCCTACTAGGTGCTAGGTGCTGGAGATTTTGCCTAGAGCAGACCGTTCTGTCTTCAGGGAATTGACGGTTCTCTGAAGTTATTTGTTGGAAACAGAAGAGTTGAAATGGTAAATAGGCTGTTTACCTGATCTCTGTCTCAGGATGTTCTTAAGGAAATAAAAAAGAAAATGTGCGGGAATTGGGGGTTTAAGTATTTGTTAGACAAAGTGCAAGACCTTGAACACTTCAAAAGGTAGAATTTTAGCATTTACTATGATCCACACAGCTGAGTATCTGCAGCTGTGGTCTGGGTAGCTGAGTATTTGGCAAGGCATGTAACTTTTCTGGGCCTGAGTTTCCTCATCTGTAAAATGACATGGTTGAATTTGGATAATTCACATCACCTTCATCTCTAACATCTTATGTGACCTATCCCACATTCCTCCGCTCCCCCACCACTTTTAGTTACTTAGATGCCCTGTGTAGACTTTGTATGAAATGCAGAGGCTGTGATAGTCCTCATCACCCCGAGGCACCCATTTTATTTACCAAGGGGCATAGGCAGACTTATCCTTAGATTTGTCATATGCACTGTGGTCTAATCTGAAAGTCTCAGAGTATTTGAAGTGGACTGGGAACTTTGAACAAAATATGACTTACTATTGACGGTGGCATGGAGGCAGAAGTTTTTAATGGAATTAAGAAGAAGTACTCTTGCAAGCAAAAAGTTTTAATCAAATTTGAGTACTATGGTTTTAATAAAACCTTAGTGTTTTGCTCTCGGCTGATTTCCTAGGGTGCCGTACCAGAATGTTCATCTGTCTCCTGTTTTACTTGAGAACTAAAACCTGAGTTATATTTTGCAAATACTGAAATGACATCCTTAATTTTCTTTTTCTTTTTTCTTTTTTTTTTTGCAGTTTGGCTGGGGCTGGGTTTGAACCCACCACCCTCTGGGGCTGGGGCCCTACACACTGAGCCACAGGTGCCACCCAACATCCTTAATTTTCTGTGTATGATTAAAAATTATTAAAATTTTTGTTTCAGATTACGAAAGAAGGAAATTGCCAGGCCATGATTTTGTTAGTTAAGTTCTGTTTACAAGGGTAAGATTTATGATTTGCAAATTCCAGACTTAATACTTTGTGAGTCAGTTTCATTTCATCTATATACACACTTTAAACAATTAGCTTAAAAGCCTGGTGGTTTTTTTTTATTTGGGGTCTTATAAGGTTTTACAAAGCTTACTGATTTCATGTTTTTATGGAATTGAAGTTCAAAATGGTTGGAAAAAGGAATCATTTTAAATTTGTATTCATTTGATTCATGTTAAATTTTCAATATGGTTGAATGTCGAAGAAAGATGTAGTGAAGATGGGAAACCTAAATTCACTTACATTTTAATTTTCCATGTAAGTAAATAGTTTCAGGACATTTTAAACACAATTGGTAAACTGAAAATATTTTTCAGAATATCTTAATGCAAGATATGATATTAGGGAGTGAGATTGTTTACAAGCTCCTGAGATTAGGTCATTAAAAAACCCAAACAAAAACCCATTTTCTGTTAAGTAGCTTCACAAATGGACAAAGATTTCGGTATAAGAACAAATTCACTAAGAAGTATATTAAAACCTATTTTTATTTTTGTTTTTGACTAAGTAGATCCCCTCTTCTTAAAAGCTTAAAGTTAAGAAATCACTCTTTGGGGGAAGACTTTAAGTGTCTGAAAACTTTGCAGATCTAAAAAACATGACTTTTGCTTTTCAAATCCCTAAAAAGAGATTCTTGCTGAGAACTCAACATTGACAAGTGTCAAAGGGATGCAGATTCTTAGAGTCACTTTAATGACATGCTTATTTTGTTAGGGTCAGAGACTAGAAATCATTAGGCCCAGAAGCTGATCCTCGGTCTGCTTGCTTCTCAGCCCTCCCTTCCCCCCACCACACAGCACTTCTTCACCTCTGGGCCACTTCCTTTAACAACATCTTATTTTTAATGAGTTCTGGCTTATACAAAATACTAACCACGTTTTGAATTCATTGCCTTTTTTTCAACGTGGCATCCCAGGGTGGTGACTGCTCATTATTGTCTGTGCTTAACTGCTACATATTTCAGTTTATGGGACCTCGGTTATCAATATGAATTTTAAATTTTTTTCTGTAAGTTTAGATTTTAACTCTGCTTTTCCAATCAAGAATGTTATTGTAAAAACTGGCTGTTACTTATTTTTTCTTCTCAATTGAGTATCTCCTGCTAAGAAGGACTCTCAGACCTAGGGACGCCATCCCCAATGAATGAACGAGACATACCTGGTCTTTGCCCTCATGGAGCTTAATAGCAGAGAGAAGGATACATATTTTAATCCTTTGTACTTAGAAGCACTACTGAATGCTGGTATTTTATTTTCTAGACCCCATTTTCCAAAGGCCATTTTTTGTTCAAATATTCTAGGAGGGTATACTTACTGTATGTTTCCTGTTTCGTCCCTCTGAATGCATCTCTACATCCATTTATTCTCATTTTCTTATCCCTGCCTTGTGACAGACCCCAGGTTTAATTCCATTCCCCATTCCGCAGCTAGCATAACAGGCCTAGTGTGTCCATTCAGCCTTTGCTTTGAGGATAGGGTAGAAGTAGAGAGTGTAGGGTATAAGCCTTGGAATCAGGCTGTGCTGGTTTCCTAACCCACTTCTCATTTCCTGACTATGTAATATCTGTTGCAGTTACTTTACTTTCTAGCCCTCAGTGTTCTCATCTTTAAAATGAGGATTATGGAATTAGGATGAAAATTAAATGAAATAAAGCTTTAAAGTATTTAAAGACTGCAATGTGGTAGTAAGTGCTCAAAAAATGTTAGCTTGTATTATTGTTGTCAGTAACTCTATAATTTGGCCTAAGAGGGGCCTCGGGGACCTGATCCCCACTTGACTCTGCAGCTCCTTATCCTCCCAAGGCCCAGGCTTTCCCAGTCCACTCACCAGTTCCTCCCAGTATTACTGTGCATACACATGCTCTGAGCAGCTTAGGTAACCATGACTTTGTTCCATTTGTAACTTCTGTCTGGGACTCCTGCTACCTACTAATTTTCACTCATCTTTTAAGACAACTGAAGTGTCATCTTTTTGAGGAAACCTGCTTTGAATTCCCTGGATTAAGTATCTTCTGCTGGATACAGAACTCCCTCTTAGCTGGTAACAATAGCAAGTTGAAAGTATATTTTTATGTGATTCCCTTGCCCATTAGAGCTTAAGCCTCTTGGTTCTCTATCTCCAGCATCTCTGGCAGTATCTGGCACATCATTTAACACTCAGGAAATGCTGAATTGAGTTTTTACTCTGTCCTACTTGATACAGTGCAACTGAGGTAGAGCCTTTAACAACCAGTCACTGTGCATTGGGTGTTTACTTGGAATAGTAAAATCTTTACCTTCAGTTAGAATAGCTTTAGCTCTGATCAAAGTGTGCAATCCTGGCTGTTTTTATACTATGTAGTTGGTTCTTGTACTCGGATGAAATGTGGAAAAAGATGTCTCAACTTCTGACAACCATGATGGAAAGTTGCTAGAAGTTTTCACCCAGTTCCTTTAGCTATAAACCTGAACTAGTATAGGGCATTGAACACCATGGCACACTTCAAAAAGTTTCACCAAAGAAATTATTCAGTTAAGTACTGAGTCCTCTTTTTCTTTCAAGAAGATTGTCAGTAGACTTTTCTTAAAACTGAAGCACTGTAATCTAAATTTAGTTATTAAGTTTCTTTTTTCATCAGGTTTTTATGTTTTGGTTTATAAGTGGTGAAGCAGAGTTAGTTTAAGGGAAGTGTGGTCCTATAGCCACCGCTGTCTCCTATAAAGCAGCATAGATGTTATTTAGGTCTAATGCAAACCACCGAAATGGTTTAAAATAGGGTGCAGGGGAAACGTACTTCCTGGCTACAGAATGACATTTAGGCAAGTTCTGCATAAAAGCATAATTCTAGCACCTTGTTCACTCCCACCTTCCCAATCCTTGCATACAGCCTTTAGCCATTTCACTTACGATTTTCAGTAGCAATGGCTTAGCCAATGTGCATTAACAGCAAGAATGCTCACTGCTTACTTTACACCTTCTCTTCTCCTCACAATATTTTGCTCCACAGGTACTTATTACTTCTGCCTGAGGCAAGAGAATGACGATTATACTTATTTACCTGGCTGGTAGAAGGGTGTAGAATGCCACACAGGCAAATTGGCTCATCTCAAGGAGCAGTTAGAGAGAAGGGAGAGCGGGGAAGTGACATACGAGAACCAGCCCTGAGTCAGCCACTTCACGTTACTTACCTAATTTGATCTTAAGAAGCTTGCAAGATAAGTTTTCGAATCTCTATTTAATAAATGGAAAGAT